ATTTCAGCTCAGGTCATGATCTCACGGTTTGTGAATTCGAGCCTGCATCCTGCTCTGCACTGACAGTGCAGAGATTCCCTTTCTCGCTCTCTCTACCCCTCCCCATTTATACTCTCTCTCTCTCTCAAAACAAATAAATAAGCTTTAAAAAAAAAGACACCTTGATCTTTGTTCTACAAAAATAAAAAATACAAAAATGACGCAAACACCAAATTTTAAATCCTGAAGACGTTCATTGAGTGATGTTTTTGTTTTGTTTTTGTTCAAAACATGCAAAGCACTAACGTTCATTGAGTGATGTTTTTGTTTTGTTTTTGTTCCATGCAAAGCACTAACCCCCTTCTCAGGATAAGCATCGATTATAGCCAAAATGAAGATAGAAGCGACCATTGTCCTGCAGATCCTGGCATCCCAAAAGAAGAACAACCCCACCAGAAGCCGCGTTCTCAAAGGCTTCAACTTTTCTAGCCTGATCCCTAGATCCACATTCAATAATGTTGGCAGCATGATGGGGATGGATTTGGAGTGGACACGAAACCGTTTTCACAGCATTTGATTAACTCAGATAATTAAAGCAAAACCAAAACAACCTTCCCTATTCCTTCACCTGGAGGCGTGTCGTTGGAAAGAAGAGGGCACCTCGTCGCGGGCACTTCAGGGGGGCGCTGTGCGAGGGTGTCTTTTGCGCCTCTGCCCTGTAGAAAAGCAGAAGGTGGGAACCAGAATACAACTGGGATGTAAGAAGGGGTAGAGAAGTACGAAAAAAGCAGCAGGGCTACGGCCGAGGGTAAGAAGAAGAAAGAGAAGCGCCTGCGGGGACGTCAAGCTAGGCGGCCCCAGGTGGACGCGCCGGGAGTTGCCGAGCGGCAGGAGGCGGGGTCTGCACCCAGCTGGCCGTGGGCGGGGCGGGGAGAGCGGCCCCGGGACCACACCCAGCGCCCGCGCGGCCCGCGCTTTCCCCAGCTCAGCGGGAGTTTGCCGCGTGAACCGCTGAAACCGCCTACGGATGAATGAGCCTCCCACCGGGCTGGGGGGCCCCGGGGCTCCGGGGCCCCGCGGGCCTGAGAATCTCGCGGACGCTCCCCGCAGCCTGGGGCGCGCCGGGTCCTTTCCGCGAGACGTGGGGCGCGGGGCTCCCCTGGCTCCTGGCTCCCGGAATCCCGCGGCGACTGCGGGGGCGAGCGGAAGCCGGGGCGGCGCTCCCGAGAACCGCCCGGTGGCGGAGAACCTGGACTGTGAGCCCTGGGTCAGAGAGAAAGTGCTCTTTCTTCTGCACCCAGAGAGATGGTTGGGGACTCCAGGGGACCCTGCGCGGGAAGAAGCGGCCGGTGAGGAGGACTTCTTCCAGGCGGCCGGAGACGACCGGGAACCCAACTGCCCTTCCCTCTTTCCGGGAAAAAAGGGAATTTCTGGCAGCCGTGTAGACGCTCCGTTCGGAGCCCCGCCGCAGGACCCCGCAGCCCCGCCCAAGTCCGTGCTCGTGCGGATCGTGGACTATCAGGTAACAGAGGAAGTCCTGTGGACCGCCTGGACGCAGGGCCGCATGACCAGGCGCACGGAGGAGCACTCCATGACCGCGATCACGTTTCGCACCAACAGGGAATGAAGCCGGCTGTGGGGCGCCAGGCCCCCCGAGGACCCCGGGCTCTCTCCCCGTGGGGAGAGGCACCCCGCGTCCACTCTGCGGAGAGGTCACCTCGCGGTCCCCGAGGACTTGATTGCCGGAGGATGTGAAACAGGAAAGGAGAGCCTGAGGAATGTTGCGAGCAGGTGGTTGAGCAATAATCCTTAAAAGAAAAATTCTCTCCTGGGAACGCCAGCCTGTAGTTATCCAACGGGAAGACTTTTTAAAAGACTGGGGCAGCGCTTCTGGGAGGCGGATGTCATTCCATACAGAATGAAGAACAGTGAGCAACACAATACCTCCTTTGTGTCTTAAGTACTGTGACGGCCTGGGGACCTAAGTCATTGAGAAGAGGGGCAGGAAAGGTATTTTCAGATTGGTAAAATGTGAGCCTTTTGAAATAAGAAAATGCTTTTGTTAAGTCTCATTTTGCAATACATCTCAATTGATCTCTTTGCTGCCTCCGTGATCTAAGAACTAAAATCAGAAGTGCAGTTTGAGGTCTGCTCTCTAAAGGCGATGGGAGTAGATGAGGAGAGCGGCTTCTTTTAAAGCTGAAAAAGAAAGTAAAAAGAAATGGGAAAATTAAAGTAGCAAGTAAACAAAATATTTTCTTTTTACTTTCTTCTGATGTGCACATTTTTCTTTTTTATTTCATCAAGTGTTAGGGAAAAAAAACAAAACTAGGAAAAGAAGAGGGAGAACAGAAGACCCAGCTTTGAAGGTGAGATGCCATTTAAATGGGCTTTATACTCCAAAGTATTTAGTCTAGTAAAAATACTTTTTATCTGGTTGTTATTTATTTTAAAGTTTTAAATACGGTAGGTAAATCGGATCTCAAGGTAGATAATGTATAGTTTGCTTTACATGATTTGTGTATCTTACTCATGTCTTTAGCTCCTTATTAATAACATTTGTATGCAAGACTGGATTGCAAATGCGTCTCTCTTGATGTGTTGGAAAAGAAAAATTTTTTCTGGTGCTATTGAAATAACTCATTTTATTTGTTCCTCTTTTTTTTATTAAATACTGTTGTCATGAACTCCTTAGTAGTGTGGCCTGGTTTGGAGATCGGTGAGAAGCAAAGATGTACTACTGGACTTCAGCTGTGCTGAAGGAGTCTTTGGTTACTTCAAGAATGAACAAAACAAATGGGACTCCTGGCTTTTGAGGAGTAAACTGTTGAACAGTGCCCCCTACCTCATTCCTCCCTCTTTGCCCTTTATTTTCAATTTAGAGCTTGAAATGTCCTCAGATATCATCTGATCCTCTTGCCTCCTGGCAGACAAGATAGGTAAGATACATCCCTGTTTTACAGATGACCTAACCTAGGTATAGAGACCACGTGGCTTGGGTAGGTCACACAACTAGTAATTGCGTACACTTACTAAGTAGGTAAGAATACAATCTCCCTTCTAAAGGTTTGAGAATGGCCTTCAGAGGGACTTACTTGTAGGGAGTCAAAACATGACAGAGCATCCTGAGTTTTCTGACTCATGTTTATGGAAGGTGCTAGAATCACCTTGATGCCCCAGAGTCCTACAAGGTCTTTTGGCTGGAGGATCACCACTGGCAGTTCTTAGGACCATGAGACCCACACTGGAGAAAAGAATTTAGCACCTGACCTCATCTTGGTTCAAAGCTGCTTGGTAGATAGAAAGGGTAATATAAGCCCTGTAAAGTGAATTATCCTTTACTCCAACAAACTTGTCTGGCCCCTATGTGAGGTTAAATTTCTTTGGTAGACAGTTTTCAGGACTGAAAATTAATTTAATGAATTTGGTTGTGAGTCATTATATGCCCCAGATGACTGAACATTGAATTTATAGTCAGCAAGGAAAGCCTCCTCAACATTGACCAAAATGTCATTTTGTTGCCTTCTGTATGGAGACAAACTCTGAAGTTCAGCTTTTGGGTTCAAAACTGTCCCTTTTCTTACTGTGACTTTGGACAAGTGCTTAATCTCTATGTGCCTCTGTGTCCTTATTTATTAAGTAGGAATAATAAATAGCATCAACCTCATAATAAAGTGTTTTTTCCTGGGATTAAGTTAAATGAAGAAACCTTAGAATAATGCTTGGTACAGTAAAAAATGCTGAGTTAGCTGTTATTATTAGTGTTGTGATTGTTTAGTTCACTTTCATCCCAAGCATTCTTTAATAAGAAAAACAGCTGAAGGCATACAACACCAGGAATCCTGTGATCCAAACCAGTGATTTTTATTGACTCAGGCATTCCTGAAAGAAGAAACTTATCTCTGGTTTTTGCTTAAACTTATCTCAGGTACAACCTTAAATTTCTTAGAAATGACCTCCACATCTTGATTCAAAGGCCTAAGGTGCATCATGCTTGACAGAGTCTTTGAAGAGGTTTCAAGTCTGCTTAGTTCCCCTTGGTAGGAGTTTTGAATGCTTTCTTTAGGTGTCAGGTTAGTTTCCCCTTAGAGTTTTAAATCTGATGCCCTATTGTCCCAGAGAAGCAGAATAGATACCCATTTTCATCTTACCTCCTTTCTGACACAAATGTATTTATTCAAGTCAGCTTAACTCTTTTAGTCCAAGTATGCTTAGGTTAATTTATCTCAAGTAAAAATTATTTTTATTTTTTTGAGAAACAGAGGCAGAGTGTGAGCAGGGTAGGGGCAGTGAGTGAGGGAGACAGACCGGAAGCAGGCTCAGGCTCTGAGCTGTCATCACAGATCCCAATGCGGAACTTGAACTTATGAACTGTGAGATCATGACCTGAGCCGAAGTCAGCCGCTTAACCAACTGAGCCACCCAGATGCCCCTAAAATAAAGGTTATTTTTAAAGCACTTGCCAGCCTTCTTGTTGACTGCCTACAATGCGCTTACAGATTTCCTAATTAAACCGAGGTCTCCCTGATATGAAGTAGTAAGTTGAAGCACTGTTGAATTAGCTGCACAGGTTTTCAATATCCAAACAGAACCCTTTTGAGTGAGGAGCCTGAGGAGTCTTTTCCCATTCACAGTGTCCTGGGAGTGAATCCAAAGTGAAATTTGAGCATTCTCAATACTAAGAAATCTCTGCGAAAGGCTGGGTGTTGGCTGTTTGGTCTTACCACCACCTTGCTGGAAAATATGATCATCTATAATTGTCTCAGGTGGATGAATCATAGCAAGGACTTCCAGAAGCCCCGTGGCCACTCAAGTGACCATAGGCAAATATCACATAAGTTCCATCAGGCAAGTGTTGGCCTGTCTTAAAACCTTTGTCCCCATTAGACAAGTGTTGTCCTCTCTTAAAACCTTTGTCTACATCCTTCACCAACTTTGAGATGCATTACATTTGACTTGCTGTTCTTATTCTTGTTGCTTATCACCAATACTTTATGTGCCTTTTTGCTTATAAAAAGGAGAAAGAAAGACAAATCTTCCTGTTAAAAGAAGTTATATTCATTGCAGAAAAGTTTGAGGAAATAGCTTGCAAGGAAAAAGAAAACTGGAGTAAAAGGAAACAAAAATTCACCCATGACCCCAAATCTGTTCATATCTCATACATTTCCAGTCTTGTTTTATTTACTTTATTTTTTATGTGTATATCCATACCTACAGACCTATACTTTTCTTGGCATAGGCAATTATAAAATCTGAGTATTGTCAATTACATAAACTAAGACATAGTGATGCTATTCAGGGTGAACCAGAAGCATGGGCATCTCTAAGAATATTTTTTTTTTAGACTTGGAGAATCTCGGGCCCCAGTCTAGATATTTAATCACAATTTGTATTCCCACAAGACCACTGGGTGGCTCACATTAAAGTTTGAGAAGTACTGATGTATATGCTGTATGTAGTTCTGTGTCCTACTTTGTAACAAAAACCAAAACGTTTTCATTTTCTCTATTCCCCATTAACAATTGTTAACAATGCCATGGAGATAACAGAGAATTTATTTTGTAGAATTTTTGTAGAATTACAAAATTTTGTAATTACAGAGGCATTTAGAGATTGCAAAAGAGTGAGGTATATATTGATTCGTGAATTGGCAAGGAGATCTCTAAAAATCTGTGGTTTTTTTTAAAGAGTCATTAGTCTAGAGGTTTTCATAATGAAACATTGATTATTAGAGTTCAGAAATGCGGTTCTTTTATTACCTAAGAATGTGAGACAGTACTTAAAAAACCCCTTAAGGGAGGAAGGGCAGGAAGTCATTAAGGAAAACACAATTTCAACACTTCTACAGGCTGAGTCAGGTCTCCTGTTAATGAATTGCAAGGGGTTGGGGAGGAAGGTGGAGCCTGAATTTGAATCCACGAATCAGTGATTCAGATAAGAAAACAAAGGCCTTGACTCTTGAACACCCTGATTTGTTTAGAACTCTAGTGGGTACTTTGCTCTTTAATTAAGGAGGGCAAATCTTAGTAACTTCTCCAGATGAAGATAAGAGGTGACACAGTACTGTTTACTTTGGAAAGAGTAAGAAGTTATAATCCGTTCTTAGGCACTGTTCTGCCAATAGTGACCAACAAAACGTTAGACTTGCTTGCTTTGAGGCTTGGAATTAACTTTAAATTCAAACTCAGATTTCAAAGTGTTAAGATGGAATGAATACTTTTGGGGAGACTGCAGCCTTTGCAAAACTGGACAGGCAGAGGTTCTTTATTTAGAGTTCGGTGTAGGAAAGGAATTAGCTCGCCTCACTTGGCACTGGGCAGGGAAGCAAAGGCAGGCAGGGCAGTGGGAATGCTTTACAGTAACCACGATGACCTTTATGTTACCCCCAGCTTGGCTAAACCAGACAGCTTGCTTTCTGAGTGTAAGCTTTTGACCTCCCTTTCCTTGGAGCATTTTCTTTAGAAAACTTGAAATTGTCAATTCTTTCTTTGCCTCTTTGGCATGTAAATCTCTCAACTTCGTGTCTGTTTTTACATCTGGGGAACATCTTTCTCAAGGACCTGGGAGCCATCTCTTGGAAATGTAATAAAAAAGATAGGGCTCCTAACTTCCAGTGTCTGGGAGAAG